AACCGCCTTCAGCAGGGGCAGCGAGCAGCCATGTACGGTGGCAGTTTCTCTAGAATACTTATGTCTGTCTTTGTGCTCTGGTGAAAGGGAAGACAGAAGTGGGACCTTGTTGGAATGGGGAAGCCCATGATTTGAGCTGTAAGCAATTAATGAAAAGCAGAGTTAGTGATCTGGCACAACTGCATTTGTCCGCACTGCTATCTCAAGTAGCTACTTTGGATGTAAGTGGAAGCCTGGATTTTTAGTTTCAGAGGCTAATAGGACCTTCTTGTGCATGCAGGATGAATCTATTGCGTTACAATAGTACCCTGTCGAAGATGAAGAATTCTATGGCCTCCCTTTCTCAGCAGCTGAAAGCAAAGCTGGACTTCTTTAAAACAAGCATCCAAATCGATCTGGAAAAGTATAAAGAGCAGATTGAATTTGGAATTAGTGAGTATAGCACCTGGCACACAGGTCTTTTCATGCATCTTATCCTCACAAAAACACCTACCGCTTTCTCTGTGAGCCTGAGAAAACCAATCACTCTTCTTTGATTCCTGTAGCGTCTGAGAAGCTGCTATTTGCCTGGAAAGAGATGGAGCAAGCTGTGGAACTTTGTGGGCGGGTATGTTTCTAAATCTAACTGCTTATCATAAAGAAAAAGAGGCTTTTTTTAAAATTATCTATCCACTCCCCCCTCCTTGCTCGCTTTTTCTTCACTGTCCCTGCCTTCAATGGAAACTTCCTGTGTCTGGACTGATTCCAGATTACACATTGGTTTGGTTTGCGCATCACCATTTTTGTCCCTTACTAGTATTACATGAGGCTCACTCTGTTCTAAGGCTTTGGGGGAAAAGGGAGATCTTGGGGAGACCACAAAAATGTGTTGGAAGTTGTTTTATCCCAGAGCACCAACCTAATTTCCTTGAATTGAAATCACTCACATTTGTCTTTGCTCAAGGCTGCTCTTTTCATCTGACTGGTGTGTTTAAAAACGTGAATGAGAAAGGAAGAACCGATGCGACTGGTAGTGTCTCTAAGTATGAGGCTGTTCTGTTGCTTATGTTCCCCTGCTCTCAGGAGGATGATGTGGATCAGTTAGTGAAGAGGATGATGGCCCTGCAAACGGACATTGTGGACCTGCAGAGAAGCCCACTAGGTCGTAAACAAGGAGGAACACTGGAGGATTTGTGAGTTGAACTACCCTGAGCTTCTGATGCAGGAGTGTTTCTAGCTAAGCTTATTCACTACAGGACAATGAATGGGCTATTTCTTCCGCCCAGATGATGGGGGACTGGAAGGACTTTAACATTAAAAATGGCTTTTGACTGATCTGCCATTGGTCTGAAATGGCAGACAGGTATAGAAAAGATTTGAGTTTTCAGGCTATTTCTTAATTTTGGTTCTTTGGAAATCCTTTGGTTTTTTTTTCCTGCCTTTTTCTTCTAGAGAAGAACAAGCCAGAGAGCTGTACCGAAGACTGAGAGAGAAGCCAAGAGGTAAAAGACACTTTGGCTCAAGGTCAGCTTGCTTTGTGTGGATAGTAACTTTGGAGATGTAGTAATGATTTTTGAGAAAACTGCCTGCCTAGACAGTAGCAGCACATGGACTCTCCTGGACTTGCATTTTTGKTTTTTTTTTGAGAGGGGAGTCAGGAAGTCAGTTTCACACTAGGCCAGCCTTGCTTTCTTGGTGCTTTGTAAGCTGTTCTTGAAATGCTTCTGGAGCTCTTCTCAGAGCAGGCCATTGCCACAAGCGTATGCTGCTGTTTCTGTGTAGGAGGGATGAAAGGTGTGGCTGTTCCTTTGATACAGTCCCAACTCTCCTTTTCAAGTTCTTTAAATTTTGAAGAAGGTGGCTAAAATCCAGTGTGATTCTTCCCACTCAAACTTTGGATGTTTCAGGATTGGAGCAGCAGTGGAAACAAGGGCCTAAGAGTATTCTCGCTCTGTCCTGTAAACCTGTCTTTCTGTGTAATACTCTCATTTCAGATCAGAGGACAAGTGGTGACAGCCAGGAAATAGTACGACTGCTCCTACAGGCAATCCAGACCTTTGAAAAAAAAGTTCGAGTCATTTATGCTCAGCTCAGGTGAGGTCTGTAGATTTTATTCAGCATTGAGAGAAGGCATTTTCTCTTCCAGCAAGAGACGGTTTAAAACTCGGCTAATGAGATCTTGCAGTGTTATAATAAGTAACTTAAGAAATGTTCTCCTACTGCAGTGGCCCATCTGTGATCTGATTTTTGCTTCTTTAATAGCAAAACTGTAGTTTGCAAACAGAAGGCACTGGAATTGTTCCCCAGAGTGGAGAAAGTGATGAATCTGATGAGTGAAGATGAGGAAACAGTTGTTAGGCTTCAGGAGAAACGACAGAAAGAACTGTGGAACTTGCTGAAAATTGCCTGTGTAAGTAAAATAAAAACTCCATTTTAACCCAAAAATACAGTTGGTAGCACGGGTTACTGAAACAATAGTAAATTTAATATGTCCTATGGTTCTTTATTTAGAATTAGTATTAAAGCCAAGTTCCAGGTTGTCTCATATTCCTGGCTGCTGAAAACTAATGGAAATAATTCCACTCTGAATAGTGCGTGTTTTCTTCAGAGTAAAGTACGTGGTCCTGTTACTGGCAGTCCGGAGAGCATGAACACATCGTGTCTTGGTAGCTCTGGTCAGCTGCTGCTGCAGGTCCCTTCTGAAACATACAATTTATCGGAATCTGTAAGAAAAAGGTGAGGCAAAGTCTGGGTGTCTGCAGCTGCTACTGCCAGCTTCCTGCTTTGTGAAGTAACAGCATGCAGGCTTTCTTGTATTTTACACTTTGTGTTCAGCTTGCACTGTCAGCAGTCTTGGTTTATTTAGTAGTTAGCGTTCCTGTGGCTAGATCCTGCAGATCTTCCTTACGAAAAATGGGGAATCACATGTAGCTTGGCTTCCCCCTGCCTCAGTAATAAAGGGGTTTTTGGTTTTTTTCCTTTAATCTGAGATAGTTGGGCTCACTTAGAAGTACACTGCCAACGATGTTGAAGCATTGTCAGGTACGGCGGTAAGCTGAGCTGCATCATCAAGGAGACTGCTGTAACCAAGCATGTAGTTTTAGCTTGCTCAAGTGAACTGGGTGAACACACAGAATGAGAGACCTTGGTTTGTTTATTTGCACATTGCCCCATCCTTAAGTTTATAGGCTGTTCTCAGCTTTTTCTCTTACAACAGCAATTGCACATAGTAAGAACCCAATCCCATCTTGGAATTGCATTTCCTTTCCCCTGTGCAATAAATCAGGAGATGCCAGCAACTTTGCAAGCTGTAGCACAAATTACAAGCTTGTGGTCTGACTTAGTGTATCTGCCAGAAATATTTCTTAAATGATAGAGGCAGCATCTCTTCAAAGTGCCATAGAAAATAATAGTGTAATATTTGTCCCTTTCAGTGAGGAGCTCCTGCTGGAATCTCAGAAACTCTGCAGCCAACTAGAAAATGTGATGCACGACACAATGAAGGATCAAGAGCAGAGTTTCTTGGTAAGGTATTTATTCTTCTAGAAATGGACTGGGGAGGCACAGCTTCAAAGTTCTGCTCATGTAGCTTTGCCACCATTAATACAGCTGATTGAAATCTGCAATTTACTCTTGGACAAGGAGAGTAGGAGTTGCAGAGATAGGAAGGCCCTTGCTCCCCCATAATCTGCTGACTGACATACTCTGCTTGCCCAGACCGGGAGCCACGCGCCGGGGACTTACGTTGTGCCGAACCGTAAAGGACGAGGCAAAGCACTTGGCTCTTGTACGAGAAGACTGCAAAATTGCATGTGAATTTGGGATGATCAGGTGGCAATACAGTGGGAGGCAGRGATGCTTAATTGAAAGATGCGGAGTATTAAAAAGAGAGTAAAATACTAGAGAATGCAAGTAGGTAGTTAAGGGTTCCTCTACAGCACTCACAGGGCTCATCATGAGCTTATATTGAACAACTTATTCACAGTAAAATTTTTAAAACTCTTAAAACACACTTTATTCTAGAGAAAGCTCAGCTGTAAGTTAACATTGAACTTTGTTTATTCTTTAGGCTCTAGACTGGAGCTGGCTGCAGCTTCAGGTAGAAGAAACAAACAGTCCAGAACAAAACCAGATGTAAAATCACTTTGGTTGCCTCTGATGCCAAGCTACTTTGGGAAGCCAACTGTGAAAAGCTGCTGCCTCTGAGAAGGGAATATCATCTGCCTCCTTCTACTGTCACCTACTGCTTATGTGATACATATGGCCTAGCTTTCAGCATCCACCTCTCACTGTTTTCACAAAGATACAGTAGGGAATGCCTGTTCTAATTGCTTGGAAAATGTTCTTATTTGTGCCTTAAGACAGCAGATTCTGTCCTGATACATCTTCCCTTAGCCATTACCCCATGGCTGTTTTGCTGCATTTTAGGCATTCTAATGAACAATGGACAACATACACCCAGTCACTGGTAGATACCACCTTCCTAATATACTTGAACTGTGAACTTAATTTCTTTACTTTGCTGATTTGCACTTTTTTTCTTTAAGTGTAACGGTTGTACTTACCTAATACTTGTTTCCTATATGGGAACGAAATGATCTGAAACATGTAAACTTTTGGTTTGCTTTTTTTGATACCCTCAATAACATTATAATGGAAAAAGCTGCTTTCGCTGTGCAGGTCTCTAAAACATGAGAGGTGTAAGGATGTTATCCTAGAAACCACAAAAGAACTAAATCCTCAGTGTGCAGGTATCACATAACAATGCATCTGCGGATTATGTATTAACCATGCTTAAAAGTTGCACAAGAATCAAAAAAAAAAAAMCAAACCACCAGCTCAATGGACCCTTGGTGGGAGTCAAGACACACCAATCTTACGTTCTGACTGTGAGCAATTTATTTCGTTCTGATGTAACCCCAAATTTCCACTACAGCACAGAGACCTCCTTTTATAAAAGGCCATAAAGTACAGGACATGCAAAATGCAATACAATAATGGGTAGAGGTTGGATTTTCTTGTGGGGTTGTTTTTTTTTTTTTTTTTTTTTTTCTGGAACAGATTTAAAATACAGGAAACTGAAATGTGGCACAAACATCACAACTTCCATGCATGCCTTCAGTTGTCTTCCTTTGTTGTGCTGGCACTCTCTGGACTTCAGCATCGGGTTAAGTCATTCTTGGGAAGAGTAGAAAGTTCACGCTTCTTCAAATTTCAGAGTAATATTAAGGCTGAAATGCACCAGGTACACTTCTCGTTCATCTTCCAGAGCACCACCAGTTGTTTTTTTCTTAAAGCTGTGTTAAGCTTCCACCTCAAATCCCAGCCCAATTTTGTGACCTCCAGCACTGAAATTCTTGGCATCAATCAAGCCTGAGAGGGTCAGCTTTACACCTACAAAAGCAAGTAATGAGAAACATCATACGCTGAGATCCCTGTACAGTACATCTTCCCTCTGGTGCTCAGTCTCACCAATGGGGTGTAGTTGCTACGGGAACTTACGTACATGCACATCCTTTACTTTTCTAAGTCTGCATAAAGACTTCTAGCTCCTTTGTTCATCTATTCTGTTCTTAGTATGAGAGTGAATTAAACAATGGTGTCATACTTAACACTATTTGCTGCTAGCAGTGAGCATTACATACCAGGTCGGAGGGCATGGGTGTAACCAATTCCAATGAGGCTGGCATTGTTCACTTTAGCCTACAAGAAAAGAAGAAATCAACAGTATTTCTATACCCTGGGTAAGTATTCATACAGAAGTGTCCTAGTGCCCTGAGAAGGTGGCTTATGCGTGAACACTCTTCAGCCACTTGTAGACCAGCGTCTTAGAAGCACATTCCGATCTTTTCTCAAGCGTTTTGAGCTTAAGCAAACGGTGGCCCAATTCTGCTTACATAAAATGCCACGCTATTCTCCACTGCCCCCTCTATTATTTGTCTATATCCTTTAAAGAGCTCACCTCAGAGACACCCTCAGAGTGTGTCTTGTTCACATGACTCACGAGTGATTTTTTTTTCTTCTAATGAGCAATAAATACATGAATGTGCAATCCCTTTTTTGCATTACTAAGTTTTGAACTGTTTACAATGATATTTATCATGTTTAATTTTGGTTCAGTAGTCCTGAAGCTTAATGGTTGTTTTGAAAAATAAATGCTTGCTACTTCAGTTCTTAGTACTAAAACACAGACATCAGCTGACTATCAAGGGTTAACTTACTGTTAGGTGAAAGCTGTAAGCTCAGCTGAACTTCCATCATTTGTAAGTACAATATGGTTTCACATTATGGATTTAAGAATTCAAAGGACACCGCATCCTTTCATTACCTTTTAAAATACATTTTGCAGCACACTAGCTGGACTTACGTCATAAAAATTTCTAGTATTTAGGGGAGCTTGTAATATTCATTTCTGTAACAAGGTCCTTACCACACAGGAAGTGTTCTCATCCAGCTGGTACTTTGCAGCAATACCAAAACGTGTGTTGTTACTGCCAGCAGTCCATGCGAGATTGACAGATGTCTCCATCTTATCATTAACCTTCTGATAAATAGACCCACCAAACTCAGTGCCATCATTCCTGTTTGTAACAGATGCGTGTCAAGCCTTGCCTCGTTTAGTAACTCTTCAGGTTAACACTTTTCCATAATCATTTGAACATTATCTCCTAAAATGAAACTAGAGATTCAATACTTCCCTGAACCCAGGCTCACTACTTCCTAGCTGGAGCTGGCTCATATTTCTTCACACAAAACATGTTTTGCTTGCAGAATGGAACAATATGCGACAGCCAGAGACCTACAGTTTGATTTTCTGGCAAAACCCCCACCCAGATAACGGGGTTGCTTATCTCAAGCCAATGTGCAGTAGCACATAAAGGAGGCTTCAGTAACAATACAAGAGACTTCAGTTACGGGAATGAGAAGACTGAAAACAACGTTGTTGCATTACATTTGTTTAAATATACCATCCTCAAAGCACCGCAGAGCATCTGAATGTCAAGACTAGAGCTACACAGCGATGACAGCGGGAAACACAATGCAACACACACCTCTCACCTTTACCTTGGGCATTTCTGAGGGACAAACTTTCTGTCTGATGGAGAGGGGGAGAAGGTAGAGTAGTTTAATTGAAAGCTCTTTTGTCTAGTTCCATGATGGAAATTAAAGCTCACAGCTTTTTAGGACAAAGTAACATAAAGTGCCTTTACATCACTATCTTACATGTACAAAACGCAAAATTACACCGAAGCAAGTATCCAGACAACCAAGAGTTGGGAAGCTGCCCCTGTTTTAGTTGTACAGAGAATTAAAACTCTGAATATAAATTAATTTGAAACAAACCAACATCCCCTTCCGTTCACCTACCTTTGACATAAGTCCATTACTGCTAACTATTCTACAGTTTGGTTCCTCTGGTAATGGTTTTCCGGGCTCAGGTAATACTTACACATTAGTGTGCAGCTGAAAGTCTCCTGCCTTATATCCCAAGGCAAAGTTATTCTGTGAAAGCTTTGACTTGGCTGTATCAAAAGCCATCTGGTAGCCAGCCAGCCAGCCTTCATAGCCCAACACTGTCCAACCATAAATGGTTGGTCCAGAGAGATCAATGTCTATGTTGCAGCCTAGATGTACATATTCTCTTTTGTAGGAGGTCTTCAACTTTCCACTCTTCTTCCTGCAGACAGAAACGTGCAGCTTTATCTGCAGTAGAATGCGAATATGCAATATTTGTAGTTTTATTCCAATACGTATGTCCCTTACGGCCAGTAAATGAAACTACTGTAATGCCTACTCCAAACTTAACAGCTGCAGAAGAGGGCACGGGATAAGGGTAACGGTGTTACGTATACTCACACGGTGCCACTTTTCTCCCCACCACCTCAAACTCCTTACAAACCTCAAGAAGCAAAACAGACAAAAATAATTTCTCCTTAGTGCTTTAAAATCCATCTGGTTTCAATCTTTTTTTTTCTCTACAAGTGAGTGTCACATGCTACGGCATCATCAGTTTCTTTTAGGAGCATCCGTAACCTGTAGCAAGAGATGTCTTTCAATGAATTTTTGTCTGTTTGGTACTCTCCACCATTCCTTCCTTGAGCAGTGCTCGCTTTCCTTTCTTCACTGCCGAGTACAGGTTTCTTCTACCAAAAATGGGTTTCTTCATCTCCAGACGTCATCCACTTAGCCTTTTTCTGTCCCTCTTGTGATACCTCTCCCTCTCTCCAATGTATGTCTCTGTTGATTTTGCTACCAATTCAAACATAACTAAGACAAAACTTAAACACTTCTTTAATTCTCTCCCCTACCTCCTTTCTCTTCCACTCAAGACACAGCAGTACAAAACTTGCACTGTCTGGCACTCATACCTAGGCCTGGGGTCTCATTTTTGAGTTAGCTTCTAATTCCTCACATCCAAGAAGTATTTCAAACTCAGATTTTTCTCATAGGCTCTCCCACAGCAATAAATAAATAAATACCAGTCATTATCTGCAAAGCAGTCTTAAGCTCTGCATTATTCAGACATAAACACCCCTTTTTTGCTTTACTACTTACCAAAATTAAGTACATGAGAATTGACAAAGACAACTAAGTGCACTCCACTGCCCATTCTACCTTGTCATTCAACTGCGCACAGACATTTGGCCAAAAGCATCATCAAAAAAGAAAAAAAAAAAAAAAATCGCTTACTGAGTTGACAGCATTAGGACCGTCAACACAACGAAGACCTACTTGTTTAAGGCGAGAAATAGCGATCTGGTACCTACTTCAAACAATAAATTTGCCACTGGCCAAAAAGCTGAAGGATGCTTTCTAGCAGACCTTGTCCTTCTGAGTTCAGTATTAGCTGCTGCCTGCAATAGATTCTACGGTGACTGCAGAACCTTCTCCAGTAAATGCTGAGCATTTACACAATAACCAGAATAAGTATTTCTAGAAGCTATGGGAAACTCTAACATTCCTTAGAAAAAGGTAATAGAAAATGTTTACCCTGTGTTTGGTACAAATGTAGTCTCAAGAGCCACCTTCAATCCTTCAGCCAACTGCAAAGAAAAATAGACATCTGCTCAAAAATCTGTTGAAATTTAATTTGTTATATTCCACTACTAGAACTCTACTTCCTGTCTAAAGAGAAAACAAAATACGACTGTTATGTCTCCCACACGATTTACAACGAAATCTGAAGATGCTGCCTGATGAAAAAGGGACTTTCTCTTCCCACAATGAAGCCCTTAACTGCATGGACTCGATAGGTATGTTTTTACATACAGGAAGATGACACATCTAGTGCTGCCAACAAGAAAAATTTTCACGGAATAATGACAGAAAGAAAACTACTCAGTTCACATCTGCTTATTMCTCCTAGTTCAAGAATCCATATGGTTGCTCAAAAATCTCTCTCATTATGTTAAAACAAAGTACTTCCTCAAAGGCCAGAGCGTATACCTGTCTCATTTTCCCCAACCTTTGTTAGGAGCTAGAGAGCATTTTCCTTTTTAATGCACAGGTGAAAGTACAAACACAAATAGCCCTACGTGGCAGATGGCACCATTACCTTATACTTGAGCCAGTAAGTGAAATAATACTTTTGTGCAATTTTTATTCTCCAGTGTTTTCTGTTCAACTCAGTACTTTCTCATACCAGCTCCAGAAACGTTTCCTAAGTTTCTACTTCCTCTTACCTGATCCTCCACAGAAACCTCTGTTCCCAATGTATTATCTGTGTTCCACTTCTGGGTGAATGTAAGCCCACAATCTTTCATCTTGTATTTGGTCTCTAGACTGCCCGAAGCCTTGCCTGTGTCTGTGTTGGAAGAACCAGTTGCAGTGAATTCCTGTCAAGAGCATAATATCACAGAATCACAAAATAGTTGGAGTTGGAAGGGACCCAGAAGGATCATCAAGTCCAATTTTTACGTGAACAGCCCATACGGAGATCAGACCCGTGACGTGGGCGTTATTAGCGATGTGCTCTGATCGACTGATCTAATCATGAGGTCGTGAGTTTTCACAGTCTCTATGTTTAATTACATTCAGTTTTTTCACTTGTCAAGCGCCAACACTCATAATTGCTACCGTCAGGCCTTTTGAAAGATCCCTCAAAATCACTGTCCTCCTCCTCCCTATTCCCATCTACAATAATCATTTTTGCATCGCAAAATGCTAGTCCTAGCATCTCCGTTCTGAATATTTCTTTTATTGACCTGTACTGATAGAGCCGTGGAACTTGCCGACGTTGGAAAAAGCGCTATTACACAAACATTCATTTACTTTTCTTCACTGGCATTCGACTACTCGCTCCCTGCCATCTTAATTTTACCGCACTTTTTCCCTAGCTTAAGCTTAAAAAAAAATCCTTTTTCCAACATCTTTTGCCAAAGCGGCAGTTATTTCAAGATTCCACAATTTACTCTGTACCTTCACATGAATCCATACCCCGATTTAAAAAGGTACTTGCTCGGGATACAAAGCTGTATATATTCCTGGATTTTTCTTCACAATCTCTTCTAATTCCCTTTATCATCTTATTAGTACTGTCCCAATTGTAGATGAACATACATCTGTTACAGTCCTGGAAATCCACCCCCCCTTAGGAAAATCAATCCTACATTGAACATGCACCGTTAGATGAATAGTAAAAAAAGCTTTTCTTCCCATTTCTCGAAACCTCTTGTGTTTGTTCATTGTCATTAATTTTTGCCCCATGCTTCAGCAGTGAAAATGTTTTCCAGAGACCCGATGCTTTTCACAGCAGCTACCGCATCCTAATATTGTGGCTCCCTATACCATTTATGCTACTGTCACTTAAGACTCATCACCACAGTGTATGAAGACTTTAGTACCTTCCCCCATAAGTTTCTTTCATTACCTCAGCCAGTAACTCCACTTCAGAAGCTAAGTTGTCACCCATCATAAAGCACCTTCAAATTATTGACTTTTTCTCCATTACGGTATCAAGAAGTAACCTGACCTCCAGAGCACCCTGACATCTCTCTGTCAGGCTGCTCCTTCACCAAGGAGTGTAAAGGAACCAACAACTATTCCGTCATATGATCAAAAGCCAAAGCATTCTGCCAGGCGTCAAGAACTCAATCTGCTTGTGGAAGCAGAAGCCACAGAGTCAGAACTCTGCCACCATCAGTCTTTACCTGCGTAAACCAGAACATCTCACCAAACACTCACTTCTTGAATTTTTGGTAGCTGAAAAATCAAACTCATTCTGGCTCCATGTCACACGCCAGTCTGCATCAGCAGGTTAAGCTTAGCTTCTCATTGTCCTTCTAGTTTACGGTGTCCGGCATCTACATGTTTTGCACTTAGGCAAAACCACTTGCAATCTACGAAACAATTATAATCAACAGACGCTATCACTGTCGTTATCTAAGTCTACATGTACCGCTGTTGTTTTCTAAGTGTACGGGAAAAACATCCAAGCATTTGCCTTGTAACAATCAGAGGTACTACCAGACTTACGTCTGAATTAGATCTAACACGTTGTTCCTAACTTCATCTCCATACCCAAACCTCTATTTTGTTGCATCAGAATCCTCATCAGAAACACTAACAAGCTCAAAACCTGAAGCAACAGACACCTGTATTGTATCTATCTTGTTTTCCCTCTTGCCCTTTGTATAGTGTTCTTGTTATGGACTGCTGGACAAAGATTGCAAATGGCTTTACATACAGGATCATACAAAAGATTTAGAGCTACGGACACAGTCAGACTGCAGAACGTGTATAATAACACAACTAAAAGCAACTGAACGGTTTACAAATGACAGCATGCAGCACAGAAAGCCTTGCCAGACAAAGCCATAAAGAGCCAACGTGTCAAAACAGTCACTATTCTTACCAGCTGGGTAAAGATCCAATGAAAATTGCATGGAAAAGAAAAAGCCCATTTTAGAACTTCATACAGTTGTTCATGTTCCATCACAATCAGAAGACAGCACAATAAACTACAAGTGTATTATGTGAGAATCAAAACTTCAGTCAGGAAAGTTTTCAGCCAGGAAAGCTGCCTAGCAAGAGATGTCAGTAAGCGGAGGCAGCCACAGTATGGAGACCACATAGCTCCTTGTGCCTACACTTTCCTGGTGCACAATGCAAGTAATCATCGAAAGCTCAAATGAGACGGAATACTGCAACACAAAAGTGAGGACTTACACCATTTGCACGATAAGAACACAACAAAAGGAGGGAGCTAAGGCAAATATGGTTATGAAGTAGGCTGAAAAACAGCTCATCTTAGCAATGAGAACAGCATTGAGCGGTAAGACATGCAGAACTCAAGAGCCAGCATAAGAATATAATCTCGTAAGCAATACATGCCTGTGGTAAAGATCAAAATGATGACACCCATCCCTGGTTTTGCCAGCACTCCTGTGAAACTGTGAGGAAGCTCTGCTTCTCCATCATTAAAATAGGGATCACCGAATATTCTTGTTACTTGGAATGCAAAAGCTCACTTACGCTTTCAAATTCTACATGCAAGGTACTGCAGAAGGACTTTTTTCAGTTTTAATTCAGTCTTGAATTTTAATTCAAGCTAATTTTAATGAAGTGGACATGAGTGAAAAGGCAGTTAAGTTAAACTCTGGTGCTTATTTGCCCCTTGACCTTTTGGATAAAAGTCTCTCTGGACGGAAAATACTACAAAAACCAGTAAGAGCATGGAAACTCAATTCCAATTGTACGTAGAAATGACAGCTATGTAGGGTGAAGAATTTCACGAGTGGGATGTGCCAATCAGAACAGGGAGGCAAGTAATGAGATTGTGGGAAAAATCTTGCACACCACACGAAAAAAAGTACTGCTACATCGGCTACGTACCATAGTAGAAATAGCTATGAGTTTTAAAATGAAAATGAGAGAGAGAACCAACGCCTGCTATCGTTTTAAAATGAGAAAGTGAAAGAGAGAAGCAACAGCTGCTATCAAGTTAATACTTGTTACCAGTTCAGGAATTTGTCCTTCCACTGCCATGCTGGTTGGTTGAAACCTCCCAGTACTTACCACCCCACTGGAAGACTTGGTCTTCAACTCTAACTTGACCATTCCAAATCCTGAAAATAAAATAGCACATAGCGCTTATTTCACTGCAATATACAAACAAGGTTTATTTGCAACATACCCAAAGTATGCCAGGCAGAGTACACCAACCTGACAGAGCCTCTTTTCAAGTTTCAACAGTTGTCATTCATACTAAGCGTCTATGAGGACTGTGAGAAGAATAACTGAAGGAATTTTGACAACTCTTAATATTCTGATACTACATTTCCAAGTTACATCTGTCTTGATGCAAGTGGCCTCGTAATTTGTAGTCATAACAGACAGACACAATCATCAAGTATCTCCACTTTTGGTAACTACCTACAGCCCGGGACCCAGGAATACAGTTAACAATCTCCTCTCATTTACTCAGTTTACATTTGCACTTCTGACTGCAAGGCAGGAAATTTTTCTTTTCCTCTACTCCAAAAAACCGTATGTTTGAACTCGCTGCAATCCTACAGTGCCATATACAGAAGTACTACTGCTTTCTTCTCTTTCTTTCTGCTCTGAGTCTTGGGAAATACCAAGCCTTTGCATGAAGTAGAAAAGCTTGAAAGCTTGAAGTAACTGACACTGAAGCATGGAACTTGAGTTGAATTTTAGCAAAGCCTGAACTCTGGGGTGGCAGAGACCAGACCATAGTTTTATGCAGCACATGGATTTGGCATACAAATAAAATCTTCATTACACACAAAATCAGATTTGGAACAATCAACACTTTCTAGTACTATTTCCACGAAATGTAAATATTGTGAAAATATTTGTACTCCAGCCTTAACAACAGGCTATTCTAATTAAAATAAAGATCGCTCTGCCTCAGGAACCTGTTTATTGCCTCCTATGGTAATCTACGTCAGTTTCCCTGATTTAATGACTCCAAATAGAAAAATAAGAAGGTTAAAAAGGGTGCAGCATTTTCCAGAGATTGTTCTGGAGTGCATCTTAAGGTCAAACTTGTAATCTTCCCCTTGAACTCTTTGCCACCACAGTACTTTTGTAATAACACACGTCCAGAGTTCAGAATCGGAAGGCGCTAGATGCTCCAGGCATCTGCTGATTTTCTGCCATAGAGTATTAGGGAATCTCTGAGGTACTCACGTTGTTACTGGCATTCCGAAGGCGCGTAAGGAAAAGATATGAAAGGCAATCAAACCATTGTCATCTTACTTACCATATCCCTTGTTGAATACATCTCTGGCAGACTTTCCCAAGTCACTGTATGATGGTGGGATAGCCATTGGATCTGAAACATAGGGGAGGTTGTAAGAATCTTAGCTATAACAATATGAAATCGAAACTATATCCAAAGCATCAGGTAAACAAGTTTACCATTCTGTTCGGCACCTTCTCAACCTAAATGTCACCTTTAGGTAAACACCTGTAAACACCTGTTGCGTTTACACCTCATTCTCATAAAGCTATCGAGATACCTTGACAATTGTGAGCCTGTTCACTCTCCCAACACGGCGCTGTGTTCTACGCATTTAAATGTGTACGTTAAATGTTATGCAAGCATTTAAACAGTATTAAAAAACCCAATTCCTCGAGGTTAGCCCATACTGGAACACATAAATTCTCTGCTGACAACAAGCAGCTCTACTCGCACAACGGAATCGTCTAGAGGAACCGAGCTCAGAGTTTCACAGCTCTTGACATTAAATTTCAATCAAGTAGGTGCAATGGCAAAACACTGTGTGAAGTCGAGGGAAAGAAAGCCAAGAATACACACAGCGGTTTGTGGAATAAGTGTAAAAAACCAAAAACCAACCATACAAAAAACCCCAAATCCCCCAAAGAAACCTCGCACAAGAAATAACAATAACCGTGAGGCTGATTTCATGTTTCTTGACGGATGTGGCGGGACCTTGCCCATCACCATCGTCACGCACCTTCGGCGGCGGAGCAGCAGCGGCGGCGGCGGCTGCGCGGCCCCGGGAGCGCGAGCGGCGCCCCCGCCCCGGTACTGCCCGTGTTACGCAACGGTAACGGAGCGGGCGCGCTCCGGCGCCTCTTCCTCTCCTTGGCGAAATGCCGGCGCCGTGGGAACGCACGGTCGCAGTCACTCTACAAGTCCGTTCCTCCCGGCCAAGAAAACGGGAGCAGCCGGCAAGATCCCCGGCTGCCTGGTCTCGGAGACAGAGCCGGCCCGCGTCCCGAGAGATTGCCCTTTCTGCAGCCCGCGGGCCTGAGGACGAGGAATTGCCGCCGGAGCGAGCCGGCGCCCCCTCGGGCCTCTGGCTAAGCCCCGCCGCAGCAAGGTGACTCGGGGGACTCCCGCCTCGGTGGGGCCTCTAGTACACCACCGGGCTCCGGCCAGACAACGCCGCGGGACCCGACCCGACCCGACCCGACCCAGCCCGCCGCGGCCCCGGGCCGCGCCGTGACCGCGGCCCCCAGCCCTACCTGCCGCCCGCGCTGCCCTCCGGTACGGCTCTCGGCGCCCCTACGTCCGCATGCGCGGCGCCACCGCTGCGCACGCGTCCAGGCTCCGGCCCCGCCCATCCGGCCCGGCTACGGCCGCGCGGTCCCGCTCCGCCCCGCGCGCCGTCTAAGTATGGCGGCATGGCGGGAGCGCGCCCGCGGCGGGAGCGGTGAGATAATAGGCGGTACTGCAGCCGGAGCCGCCTTCGGTCTCGGTGGCCGGTACAAAGTTGTGCTTGGGACGGACGGAGAAGGCTGGCGGAAGTATTCAGTGCCCACGGAGCTGCGGGTCAGCCCTGGCTCACCCAGCCTGTTAGAGTTGGTGTGAGACGCCAGCGGGCGCTACAAGTCCTCTCAAACCTTCATTGACCTTACCGACAAACTTCGTTCGCTCATTTGTCAGTCCCATTTGGAACCACAGCTCAGACAAACCCCTTATTAAGGGCCATATAGCTCTGAATCGAAGGGAGGAGGCGGGCCCACCCAATGTGGAAGACTCGGCAGCTGGGACAAAACCAAATACGACAGAACAATGCAGCATGTATCGTTGCCAAAGCCCAACCGTTATACCGCACATAAATAAGTTTGGCTATGCACCCGAACAAAAGTTTAGCGCATGCCCAATTGCACAGATTCCCTTTGATAAGCACAAGGTTCACAGCTATTGCCTCCCACGACTACCAAACATCTTGCAGTTTCATAAAGCAGTCCACAAGAAAAGCCAGTCACCTGAGATACAGGGGATTGGGGAAAGAAAAAATAAAAGACACATATATTTATATAGTTCACAAAAAACAAGCAAGCTCTCTGAATAAGACTTTGTTTTTCCACATAGAAGAATTCACAGTATTACGGGGAGAGACTGCAAAGCCAGCAAATTCTGTCTCAAGGCCCAAGACAAAGTAGTCTTCCTGGCTACCTGTCGGAGGTGATGGAGAATGCATCGGTGTAATGGTGTCCAGGAAATGTTTGTAAACATGGTAAACTTGCGTTACTGCTTTTTTATCTCCTAAAATTACAGTTAATAAAATAATAGTCAAACGGCATTACACACTCCTGATGGAATATTCATTTATTCCTGCTGATTACTGAAGAAAATACTAAATACATCAGCTATGCATATTTTTAAAATGAGGCATCAAAAGACGTCACATAGAACCAAGTTACCTTCTAGTTACCTTACATACCACTGCATGCATTTAGCACTGGAGAACATTTCCAGGAAATAATTCAAAATCCCAACAAGAAAAATGGAAGAAAATAAAGGGATAAGCAAGAGTATCTGCCTATAATGTCCACTACTAAGACTGATCGACTCTGCTTGTATAAGAACAAGTTTAAGATGTAGTTATTCTGCAGGCTGAAGACAGGTAAAAATAAGATGTAGTATTATGTCTGTTTTATGGTCAGGTCAGGTTCACTAGTCTGACACAGTACAAAATCCTCTCTGTCCCCATAGATGCTGATAGAGAGTGTAACCATCAATAAACCAAGTGTTATATATTTAGCAATAGTCCATTTGACTATGTCTCATCTTTACTGCTACAAGGTATTCAAATACTGTAGCAGCAACACATTCCATGCTCATGCTCTGCAATGGATGGAAGCTAGTAGCTTACCACTTTGAACAATTTTAAGCAAACCAACAGACTCGCCATCCCAAATACAACTAGTAATGCATTCTTGAAGAGACCTCTTCTCATAGCCAAAATACTCATTACCTTTCCCAGSGGAAGGTATAAAATAAGATTTGACAGGTTGCCTATAAAAAAAGGGCAGATTGAATCTACAGGAGTGGTAGCAGTGCATCCATTAATTGGATCCAGCGGAACAAGTTGAACAAAGCAGTTGCTGAGCAGTGCAATCAGTAGTACCGCAGCGTGCTTAGAAACAAAATTCACGGGTCACGCGCAACATAAAAAGGAGAACGGCCACATTACCATATAGCCCACACAGAAAAATTTTAGAAGTAAGTACACAGAAACAACTCACTAGGAGCTTCATCACTTCACAAAGACATTTCACAGAGACATGATGAGATACAGACAGTAGCTGAAAATGGTATACTTTAGGAGTACTTCTTGTTATAGCCCCCTTTCTCATTCTGATYTCTACACATTCTTAAGATACAGTGAGAGATGCTGGATGCCCCATTCCTGGAAGCACTCAAGGTCAGATCGGACTGGGCTCTAAGCAATCTTATCTAGTCAAAGATGTCCCTGCTTGTGGCAGGGAGACCAGACTATGTGACATTTAGGGATCCCTACCAACCCAAATTAATCTGTGACTATACAAAGGCTTTATCTTTGCCGCGCATTCCGTACGAGTGCCACGGAGTCACTTTAAACATCAGTAACGTACAGCTTTTCCGGTAACATCCAAAGTAAGACTGTGCACTTTCACACGTTCGTATGAAGCTATGAAAACATCTCTCTAGGCTACAGACATAAGCAAGCAGTCAGTTATTCACTCCGATCCTTTGGCTCTCGGTATTTCCACTGGATATAGTCAAAGATGTCTTTTTCACATTCTACTGGCAAGGCCTCTCCAGCAACACCTGCAAGCAAAATTACACAGGCTATTTGAAAGGTGGAGAGTCTGTACCGTTCAGAAATGGCAAATGCATTGCAAAGACAAAACTGCTGCGGATAAACGACTTAAAAAACCCACCCAGAACACTCCCCCCCGCATCCTGAACTTTTCATACTGTTTACAATACTGATTCTTTTTAGTGTCAAAGCAAATCAGATAACGAATTAACCGAGGGGCCAAGCGGTTACCCAGTTAAATAAATTTATCATTGCGTGTGGGTACACATAGCCACCTTTCCTCCAAAGCAAAGCAACGGAAGAACATGAAAAGAGTAGGAAACCCTGTGAAAAGAGTAGGAAACCAAATATGTGCTATGCACACCACAGAAAGAAACCTTTAGATCAGTAAGACTTCAAGCAGACTAGGTGACCCAAAGAGGTAACTTTGTGCCACAGAGCTGCCTGTACTTAAGCAGGCTGCCCCTTCTTACTGCAATTGTCACCGATACCAAAAAGGACACTGAAAAATTTCCAAAACTACAGCATTCATCAGAAGCGTTTCCAAGACGCCGCAAGCAATGGAAGGATATCACGCAAAGCACGTAACTAGAAAGAAAACCCTGGTCAAGAGCCCGTACTGACCGGTTACACCCAAACGACGTATCGCATATTCGTTGATGGTGAAGCCCATTTCCAGAGCATGAGTTCTCATGTTCTTATTGAATATATCGCTTCCCGTGAAATACAGGACACCACAGTAATACTGGTCTTTCGGGATAAGCCTAGAATAAAAAGTAGAAACATAGATTTGGAATAAATATACAACAAAGAAGTTATGAGCCATTTAGAATTCAGGCATTCGGACACTCACGGGTTTACTTTGTATTTATGCGTATACATTCTGCAACTCTGTGCACTTAATATTCCCACAAGCCAGATGAAAGAATGATGGGAACTGCCTATCAAAGAAAGGTTTAGCACATCTACTCTTACAGAAGTAACTGGTGCTCAGCCACTACCTGGTTACAATGCTCCTGCCAAGAATCAATGTCAAAGCAGGATGGTAAAACAGGACACAATTCTGAATCAGAATCGTCATCAGGATTTGAAACACAGTATAATTCTAATAACCTGCCGCAGTTACTGGCAGTTGTACAGCGGCTCCTACACCACAAAGGCATTAGAAAAGTAGTAAATGGCACATTCTGAACGTGCAGGTAGAGATTTGAATGCAAAAGCTGATGCAATTGCCTACTGCAAAGCTAGGGGTTTGGGTGGGGGTTTTGGAAGACGGTACCGGATATCGATTCTCCGATGTGGATATGATGTTCCATCTTCTTTATCTGGCAGCTGGCAGACACCCTATGAGGAAGTACGGCCAGAGCGAAATTCAAATGAAATTAAACAGAGTGGAGAACCATCTTTACCTCCCCACCCCTAAACGACCTCCAAACAATCCTCAGTCATCCCGGAAAGCATAGCTGAATCCATGCTGAAGTGATTAAACATTTTACCAGAACAGCCAGATACCAGAATGCAGTGGATCAGTATTTTACACTGTTATGAGAACTGCTATGCTACGTAGCACATAATTGCTTCTTACATTTTTATTGCAGCAGTAAGGATCGCTGGACTCCTCATTTCCCTGTCCTAACTATTATCAGGCTTCTCGGTATGCACAAATATACCAGCAGGTTAAGAAAAGAAGAAAAAGCTGCGGTGTCAATGTGGCATCTAAGAAAAGTAAGGTTCCTGTAATTTGTTACTTGCCTCAGGCGTCCCACATAATCTCTATTATATCCTAATTCTAGTAGGTCATCCATTAAATCCGTTCTGTAGCGAAACGGACTCAGAAGGAGACAAGAATACATTATGTACTGGACAAAATCAGGTAAACATAGGCCTGTCATCAAAGATAAACGTTTCCAAGATCGTGAGGACACCACTACAGAAGAGGTCACCAGTTTCACTGAAGAAGCAATGTCACGCTGAGGTTCCAGGCAATGCGCAGCAATGTAGACGCAATTGACATTATGCGATAAAGGTTACATCAGCAGAGTTCAGAACTACACAAATATTTGTACTTTGTAATCCTGAAATCGTACCATAAGGCATTTCCTAATAGTTAACTGCAGCAKGTTCTTACAAGGTGCAAGGGGGAAATTTAAATCGAGCAAACACACGCCACCCCCACCCCCAACTGCAGCAGGCCACGTGATGTATTTTGTATTCATCCTAGTACCTGTCAGGAAAAGTAATTTCCCCACAACATCCTTCACCACCGAAAACACTCTTACCATGAATTTTGTGTCTCCTTTAGACAGCGTATCTGTGACAAAGTGAACTTTTTCCAGCTGTTCTACAACCTGATGCAGAAGTTTTGACTAGGAACAGTGATAACACAAAAGTAAAAATTACTTCAGAAATAACAAGCTTACCTGTTTACTGGACAGAGGCTCATATAAGTACAGGATGTCATGATAATTAAATTACTATTCTACATGCAATGTGACCCAAATGGAAAAAAACTTTGACAATAACATTGGGAAAAAAACTAATAAAATTACAGCTGTGCATCAAAACCAATTTCCACCAATACCCCCACGTGAGATCACCTTTAGCTGGCAATGACAAATCCAATTTGGCTTTTAAACAATGAATCTATAGAAGCGACACAAGAAAGGACCCTCACAAATACTATTTCAGAGTTAGTTCCAAAAGATTACAACAGCAGCAGGACAGTTTTCTGTCATCTAAATGATTCTGGCTGCGTAAAGAGATACTCGGTCTACTTTTAATCCAGCTAGCTTTACAGTTCAGCATAACAGAAGCATGTGCATTCAAGGGGGTGGTGTGTGACAGGAAGAAGAGGGACAGAAGGATAAGAATAAGCACATGGACTAGTTCCTCAAGAGAAATGCAATGTAGTATGTGGACCTGAGAAGTAAACTCCCCAAAATAAACAYGGCGCTCCAAGAGAGAAGTTTAGCATCACAGTAAATACGAAACCACAAAAAGCCGTAGTACAAGTCTGAGACTATATGCAATGTACAGTACTGATCGCCAGCATCTGAGAAACACACCTGTTTGGATGATTCAGATGTGAAACTGGGATGGGTTAGGAGAACATCCATATCACCGCTTGACTCTGCACCTAGGCAAGAAAGAAGCAAAGAAAAATCCCTCTGTGTGTGGCAAAGTATACTAATGTCAGTGAATGTCCATCTTACCGCTTCTTGTAAACATGTTTCTTTTAGCAGAAAGCGGTCACTATTGGAGACATTACCAAAAAAGAACAAACCTCAAAACCTTAAAGTAAGAGAATCTTGTTCTTTCATCAAAGACTTTATACTTACAACACTTAAGAAAATATCCACAAATTTCTTTCGTACTCTACAGCAATGAGGCACAAATGTTGTTAGTGTAAAAACAGAGCAACCAATTCACGTTACAACATACTACTCTTCACGGGTGAAGGGCGAGAAGCAAGGATTTATGCGGACGTCTTGTCACCGAACTAGCCGGTCGAGACAGTACTAACAGGAAAAGGCCAGGCTCTGGCATAGACACCTTCAAGAAGGACGGCATACGCAGTAACACGTCTCGCTTATTATCCCAAAATAAAGATAAGATCACAGAGTACCAACCTCGCCTGAAACTGCCGCAGACTGTAGCAATATAGTTTGGGTCCAGCCTCTTTATCTCTTTCAGCACAATTTCCTATGCAAAAAAGGGAAGATGCTCATTTAGAGGCGTCGGTCATTCACCGATCATTGGAACCTGGCATCCTTAACAAGGAGGTTCTTACCTGCATTTGCAGCATTTCTTCCCTTGGGATTCTTTTCTCAAAATCTTCAAAATACCTGCAAGTTTAAAAACAAAAGTATCGGAAAGAATCACAGGGGCGGCATCTTAAAATTTTAGTTAATTAAATGTATATTGGGGAAAAGAACACCAACTTTTGCTACCGTCACATCACAAAAAAACTCCAGACTCTCATCAAACATCTTAGAAAAAATCTCTCAAGGTGACAGTAAAAACTCACAACCGCGAGCTCGACGATGATTAGAACACCGTTTCTGCATTTCCACTGTATATGAAAAGCTGCTATGAGGTGGAAGTAGCATTACCAAATAAGCAACTGCTTAATATTTGCATAGCCCTCTGAAAATACAAAAGGTTCCCGACAGAACAGCCCACTGGCAAGCAGGAGGAACAGGTCCCTCACCCACAGTCAGAGGCGACCTGCGTCAGCAGGAGCTAAAGGGAAGGTCCTGACTCCAATACAGCTCCACATATATTTGCCTTCCACCTAAAAAACAGATTGTCAGCACGCTGCTCAACTGCGGAGAAGAAGAGGCCAGGTGCACGCAACACCTTTTGGTTTCATTCGGCTCACTTGCAGCTTCTGACACAGCTACAGTTCTTCCACCAGCAACCGAACAGACACTCGACAAGCAGCATTCAAGCTGATAAACACTGAGTGACAAACACATATTCTGCACAGAATTGTCAAGTTCAGACACGCAAAGGCCTTACCTCGTTCACGGCACATAGTGAAAAAACAGCCCGGGCCACGTATATGCAGATTGCGAAGAAACACTCGCTAAAGCGATACTCCCTGAGCTAACTGAGGAACTCACTCAATATTAACTTCCTCCTGAACAGAGATTAAGCCTTTCAACCCCAATGAAACGAAAGCTTTAAATAACTGCTGAAAAACACACAGAGCGCGGAGAAGAGAACCGTCTGTGGCCCGTGTAACCTTACGTTAAGTCCCGCCACCTGAAGGAGTCATTAACAACACTGAGCACTTGTACCCACGAAAGCTTACTTCAACCCAACTTGCTGGTGATGAGTCAGCTTGTGCTCAATTTTTCTTAGATCTAGGAAAAAAACCCCAAACAAAACAGTTAATTGAGGACCGAAAATCTTGCAGTAAGTTTCCACCGAAGCAAAGGTAACGCACACAAAGAAAACATAACAAGAATACAACCTCAAACGAGGGAATTTCAAACTACCTATGCAACAGCCCATAGGATGACCACAAATGCATAGAGTGCTTTTGACAAAGACTTAACAGACCACCCAAGAAGCAAAATTCTTGTTATRTCTTCCACGTGAACTGCACGGACTTAGCTATGGATACGTATGCAATGCCTTAAGCCTGTGCACTAGCTTTAGCATCTCATGCACTTTCTTCAAAGCCTAGGGCATATACGCTACGACAGTACCACTGCAGAAGAGGCAGCTCGACAGAAGAAAAGCTTACTGCAGTGTCAACTGAGGCCCCAAATTTACACTTACCTTCTAAAGTCTTAATTCCTTCCTCGACAAACTTTCTAGCAGCAGCGGGACTGCAAAGAGATAAGGCAATGTGGCATCGGGAACGGCAAGAATCTTATGACACTAAATAGAACATTAGAATTCCTTGTAACTGTCTAGGTTTTTAAAGGACAAGACTGAGGTAGCTTGTGACGCTTACGTCTTCTCAGCATCTGCCTTTTCAGTTTACGCTTTTGGTCGGCAGAGAGCCAAAGCTCGGCCAGCACATTTTTGAGCATTCATATAACTGTATGCTGACGTGTCATTATAAAAAATTAAACAGATCCCACATAATAGGCAATATATCTTCAGACAATAATACTACAGGCACAGTAACATTGCATCAGAGTCCCGACAGGCTTTTTCATTCCCTTGTTTTTGTTTTGTTGCCTGCTTCGAGGCTACGCTTCTCCTTCTAGAAAAACCCTTGAAGCCAGATTCTCACTTCCGCTTCAGTTGTCTTTCACGGTTCCATCCTCGACTGGCATCTATCTTTCCCCTCTCAGCTTGCACATGGGAGCTTCCTACTTCCGTTCCTGTACCCCAAAGTCTGCAACTGATGGTTCTATACCCTTCGGTCTCAGACAATCCTGTAATCGTGACTACAGTGTGTCAGCGTGGGTGTGACATCATCAGCTCAGGCTCGCTGTCTTTGTTATTCACAATCACCCAATTTCTGCTCATAAGTCCATCAAATGAGCAGGAGAAGGGGGAAAAAAACCGCAAACATGACAAGAAATTTTTACCCAATGCCAGTGACTCGTGTCAAGAGATTGATAGATGCGCTCGTGTCATCTTGACGGATCTACAAAAACAAAATAACAAAAACCAAATCCTTCTTTATTCCATTTGCAATAAACAACAACAACAACAACAAAAGCCTTGATAAGATAAACAGCTTAGTTAGACTCTGGTTTGGAGGCTCACTGTAAGCCACTACAAAATGGTACCGAGGGTACTACGGTGCATTGCATTAACTCTGCACATAACTGGCTCCGAAACTGCTCAACCGTCCACGCTAAGGTCAACAGCGGGCCTAAAGCACAAAATTCCACAGCTTTCCTGAGACGGAACGCCACTTCTTACAGAAGATCTGCGCACGCTGATTATGTCAGATAAAAAAATTGTTGTGAACAGATAGATTTGAGGCTTTGGCTGATTTCTACTTGCCAAGGACTCTCTGTTCACCATTCCTATGATTCTCCAGGGACAAGCACAGAAATGTGCAAAGCAAGGTGGGCTACTTGGTAAGTTGTCGAGAAATGGAACTGTCGAGAAACACAGAACAAGGGCAAGAAACCCACCTTTTCCAATTTGCGTAGTTTTCCGGTGGATAAGAATTCATCTATCTTCTCAGCAATTTTAGCACCTACTCCTTCCTAAAGATTGGTAGGGTGAGCACAAACAAGGTAACTTTGAAATCACGCAGTCATTATATGTGGGAAGAAAGGAAAGCTCCCTGGAATTTAGAGTCCAGAAAGAACTGTGGGGCACCCGGGACCACAATAAATAAGCAGACCACGAAAGAGCACAAGAATTCAAGAGTACCACGCAAGCAGTATAAACAGTGTAACTCGACAGCCATACTAAGTTTCCCCAAAGCAGTATTTGTGGATGAGGCATTTACTGCTCAAGATCTCTGACTTAACAAAGCAGCAACAAAGCAAAGGGAAAAGATATTTTTACAGGCAGAGACTCGGATGAGGTGCCCGCTTCCAGCTCTGAAACCCCCACGGTGGCCACAGCACAACTCGTCCCCGAACTCTGACTCGGGTACCGGAGAGAGGCTCTGGGAGAAGCAGGGCTGTCCCCACGCTTCCCAGGAACCTCCGGCATTTCGTCTCCGCTCCGGCTGCCCCACATCCTCCCGCCGGCAACCCGGGCACGGGCACCTACCAGCTTCTTGGCTTCAGCCCCGCTCTGTATCTTGCTCGGATACCGAGAAATGACCGAGGCCGCTTTCCTGCGGAACAGTACCGGTCAGCGTCCGAAAGGTCCGGACCCCGAGACGGGGGCGCGGCGGGAGGGAGGCGGTTACCTGTAAGCGTTGTACTTGTGGATGGCCCTGTTCACGTTGCGCTCGTAGTTGGCCAGTTCTGCAGGAGAACCGCGATGAGAGCAGCCGGTGTGCGGCCCTTCCCACCCACGGAACCGACCGAGCGCACACACCTACCGGTGAGGAAGTCGGTGATGCCCTCGTTGGGGCTCTCCTGGGGAGCCTTGCGCTTGCTCATGGTCGGCACCGGCGCCCAGCGCCCGCCTCGGACCGCGATCGCGGGGAGCCGCTTCCGGCGGCTGTGGCGTCACAGCGCGTCCGGTGTCGGGGCTCGGCCGGTGAGCGATGCGCCGCTGAACATCAGTTTTACGCGTCACCGACCTTCCTCACGCGTTGATGCCATCGCAGCTGTTTTTGCCCAAGCCAAGTACCGTGAGCTTCAGGTGCCACCGCCTGGATCTCGAATTTTGCTTATTTTAAACATGAATCTTTAAAACCCCCCAGGCTACAAAAATAAACATTATGCCATTATACAAAATCAAATAACACAAATCCCACAAAGATACAAGAAACATCAGCCAAAAAAAAAATAAATAAAAAAATAAAAAAAAAAAAAAAAAAAAAAAAAAAACCACAACAAAAACCCACCGATTCCAAAATACCAGAATAATCTAGTTTCAAAATAAAAGAACGACAATTTCCAAAATATCTGAAAACCAATTTGCAAAATCCCCGTTTCAAAGTAGCAGAATACCAAGTTTCAAAATAGCACAGTAACCCACTTTCAAAATACCAGAAAACCAAGTTCAGTAATATTAAAATAATCCAGTTTCAAAAATACAACATCAAGTTCTAACACATCAGTGTCCCAATTTCGAAGGATCAATTTTCAAAATACCAATTTTCAGATTCCTGATATGAGCAGTGTTCCCAGACTCAAAAGAATGCATTATTGTCAAAATGGGATGTTTTCTGTTCTGAGAAGTTTTCCCCCCGATGACCAGCAAGACACTTATTTATTTAAATTGTGTACCCAGAGGTCCTAAGAATTTTAGTTTAAAAGCAAACAGTTGTAGTATTTTTCTGCTTAGTTTGTGTCTGTGAGAACTGTGATTTGGGCAAAGGAGATGCGCTTGGGAGCAAAAGATGGAGTAAACCTGTTCCCTGGATTCTCGGCAAAAGGCTGAATAGCAAGCAATTTGGAGTATTTGTGAACCGTATATTGGTATTTCACCTACATTGGAGCTGGACCATAGACAGGAGTGCACTGCCTCATTCTCGCACACTGTCGGGATTTGCTGGAATGTGGTGATTGGCACTGGAATTTTGTTACTTTCAATGTAATTTTTTTTTATTTTCACCGCACTGTCACGATTTTCAGCAGAATTTTCTGCGCCACCTTTCCACACATTCTAGCAAATCTGTAGTGAAACTTTCTCCCAAATGATGGAATCCATTCTGGGRTACAGGTGGACAAGTCTGCATAAGGCTCATGCAACACTGTCATAGCCTGAAATAGTTCATGCCTCAAACATTAATATAAAGTTTTGTTCATTATAACAAAGGCTGTATAAGGAAGCTATAACCAAAGAAGTGTTCCTGAAGACACCTGACTGGGACTTTGGACTGTAAGTTAAGCTGCTGAGATAGATGCTATTGTTCAATCATCTCAGCCTAGGCAGACACAAAGCTGAGGGAAAGGAATGCATCCACACAACTGCATCAGAGTTTCTTCCCTKGCTGGATTTAGCATGGGGAAGATCAAGCCCATGGAAGCCAGGCATACACAGGCTACCCCACCGAAATGGGGGGTGGGGGACGTGGTTTTGGGTATGCAGCCCAACCTCTAGTCAGAGGCAGTGAACACCCCTCCTCTCTCGCACAAACGGGTGCAGCTGCAGGCAGGCCACATCCACACAACATTCACGTGAGATGCAGCTGAGGGCATGTCATAATCTGTTAAAGACACCCCCAAAGTGCTCTCCGGAGGCCTCTTGCCGCAGGATAGCGGGCTGACGCAGTAGATTCTGTAGATCTGTGTTGGGAGAGATTGTCCCCTCCCCGGGAGGATGTGTGTGGACATCACCACTCGGCTCGAGCGTATATTAACCCATTGGATTCTCTGTGTTTAGGGGGGACCATCACCACCGAGATGACCAGCCAGAGAGTATCGACGGAACACTGTTGGGATTCATGGATGGTGATATTTTCATTATTCTGTCTTTGTTGCTCTTTCTGTCCCTCCTGTTTTCCAGCTTCTCCCTTTCTTTTCCTCTCTCTGTGTCTCAATAAAACCCATATTATTAACTGGCACCCTGTCTCCCTTGCACCTTAATTTCAGCAGAGGAATTTCTAATATCCTTAAATAATTGGATCATAATAACCACCTAAGCTGGTATTAGAAGTGAACTTAGTACTAGTCTCATTTTAGGATATGAATTTCATTACTAGCACTTAATTTATGTTGGATTTATTTCATTTCTCTTTGGTATGTGATTTAAATCTTTGGGATAGATAAACTAATAAGTAGTTCTGTTGCAGGCAGAATTGGTGTGTGGTGAACTATACACACCTGTGCGCATTGTATAGTGACCATGCTAAGTCCAATTTTAAGGCCAGTTTCTCTGTAGAAAAACTGTGTTCAGATTCTCAATTTTCAGCTGCAAGGTACCTCTGGGACGGGAGGGTGGAAACGTTTCCTACCCGTGGGAAAGAGCCACCGTTCTCGGCCGGGAGCCGGGGTCSGAACGTGCGATCTTGCCTTTTGGAATCGTGAATGCCACGGGATTCCTCCCGGACAAAAGTTGCTGGGAAGTAAGGCTGTAGCTGGCCTCGGACTCCCGGGGCCTTCCTCCAAACCGTGTCTGAGRCTGTAGGAAAATACTTCCTACCTGTTGAAAAGAGACACCATTCACAGCCAGGTTCTGCTTTTGGATGACTCACCAGCCAGAAGAGGGAGAGAGAACACAGTTCTGCCCGGTGATGGAAGTCTTTCCTGGTAAGAGATCTGAGAGTCCCATTTCAAATAATAAATATACTGCCTATTTCATATGGCAAATGAGAGAAACAGAGCTGTGAGATCCTACCACTAAATTCTAAACAACTCAGCAGTGCAGCTGCTGACATTTAGCCCCAAGTGCTGTCACTAGGTTTTGAGAAAGATCTCCTCAGACTGTCAGCTGAACTCCATACCGGGACTGTGGTGACCACAAAGGTGTTAAATGCACAAGGGAAAGTAAAGTATCAATCAGGTGTTTTGGTCAGAGCAACATTCATTAATCCACAAAGAACACTTCCAGCAAAAGCGTGGCCTGGGCTGGTCACATTTTCAGACTGATTACACAACCATCACCCGTGAACTATCCCTTTAACCCCCCGACTCGGCCGACTGGAACGGCACTTGGAACACGCCGAAAACTTTTCCCTCAGCAAAGTGACAGATGCGTGTCCTTTAAGATGACCCATCGGTAATCTTTCCTTCCTTTCTCCTAGCCCATTTTAAAGCCGATTTCTGTACATGGATATTCCAGAAGGTGTGGTTCAGTAAGGTGCTCAGAACTGAGCCACACGAATCAAGTTTAATGCTAAAGTGTATTTCGGTAGGTTGTGCATATGTTACATGGTCTGCATACAGGTAAGGACTATGTTCAGGTATGAGGCTAAACACCTTATTTAGTCTCCACTATTTATTAAAGTACTTGGAGAAATGTCTTAACAGTTTTAAGATCAGTATTGTCAAATTTGTAAGCTAAAATATTGTAGCGCTACGATCAAAGCCCGTAAGTTTTAAACTGTTTCAAATGATGGCGTTCTGCATTTAAAGTGACATGTACTAGATCTGACCATGTTTGTAAGTATTYACACAGATTTTACAAACATGGCAAATCTTTCCCAAAGGGACAGTTCTCCATTAGCTTTATGTATTATTTATGTATTATAATATACATATCATTTATGTATAATATGTATTATTATGTATTATGTACCAATGCCTGGAATTTTGTACAGCTACAGACGTGAATCTTTTGGCTGGATTCTGCGACACGATGAGCTCGGTGGACAAGCAGGACCTGGGGACGTGCTGGGGACTGAGCTACGAGGTGACAGTCGACCTGCAGGGGGTGGCACCTGTCCCCAGGAGCGTTGGTGAGTTGGAGACAGGAAAATGTGGAAAAAAATGGGAAAAAAATGGTGAAAAAATGAGAAGAAATGGTAAAAAAGAAGGTGGAAAAATGAGAAAAAACAGTGAGAAAATTGGAGAAAAAACAGCAAAGAAATGGGAGAAAATGGCAAAAATGGGGGAAAAAAGCATGCCTACCCTCTCCCCCCTGAGCACCCAGCTGCCAGCGCCTGGAGCTGGCGTCGAGTGGGGAATCGAACCCCAGTCTCCCGTGTGCGGGGTGAGGACACTCACCACTATACTAAGCAAGCAGGAGTTATGAGTGTTTGGCTTTTGGCCAATTTTTTTGTTTTTTTTTCAGAGCTGGCAGATCCGGCCCCCCCTTTAGCTCCTGTCTTCCATTTGTGTGGTTTAGTAATTTCTCCGTTCTGTGTCTTGCTGTGCTTCTCACTTTTCAGTCTATTCCTCACTTTTCTGTTTCTGTCTCTGCATCTGTTTCTCTGTTACTGTCTATATGTTTCTTTCTTACTGTTTCTCTCATTCTGTTTTCTATTTGTCTAAATCTGGTTTTCTAATTTCAATCTTTTTGTCTAGCTTTGTTTGTGTTTTGCTATTTCTGTTTCTAACCTCTTTGCAATTTCTTACCTGTTTTTCTATTTCTCGATTTATGTTTCTGTTTGTAATGTCTGTCTTTCTCTAGTTCTTCTTTTCTCTTTATTTTTCTTTATTCCTCTATTGCTAACTGAAGTATTTCCCTGCTTCTAAATTATTTTCTCATTGTTTTTCTATTTCTATCTTCTTTTCCATTTGTTTCTGTCTTTCTCATTTTTCTCTTTATTTCTCTACTTCAAACTTCTCTTTATTTATCTATATTTTATTTCTCTATTTTAAACTTCTTTTCTATTTTTATGACTTTCTATTTTTCTATTTCTAACATTAACCTTTTCCTCTTTTCTATTTTTCTATTTTTATGTTTAACTTTTTCCTTTCTGTTTTTTAATGGTAACAGGTAAGTGCTAACACCGGTCTTCTTCCCACTCACTCCCCCTTGCCACATACAGGAAAGCAGCAGGAACGGAAGAGAGTGGCAAAAGTTTTGATCGGTTCTGATGATAAAAGAGGCTTGTCCCACAATAAAGTCCTTCTTTCTTTCTGATTTTTCATCCACGTTTTGTGTATTTTGTATCTATTCTTTT